GGCAAAAAAAAAAAAATGTAAAATGACCGTTGCCATCACTTTTATATCACATGTAAATGTTTACATTCTTAAGTTTTATTTTTATGCTCATGCAATGGGTATATATACTTGAAATAGAATTTAGTATCTTTAGAAGTGAAGTCAGAATCAGGGTGCAATAAACCATTTCTGGAGTTTAGTTCTGAACCTGGGAAGGGAGCGCTTCCTGAGTCTCCGTGGCTAATGATCCTGTCTGGCTTCCTCGGCAGCTTGAATGCGGAGTAGATCTAACAGTGCAAGGCGCCTCCCTTCCTTCTTCCCTCACCACACGCATTCAGTCACTCTTGGTCTTTCCTTGAGTGTGCCAATTCGGACAACAGCAGCATACCCTTCATACTCCAGTTTCAAGTTATACTAAAGAAATCATTTTAAAGAAATAATTTAGATGGACGGAAAACTTGTGCAAAGAGCACATTATAAGGAATCCTCATGAGTCACATTTGAAATAGTCTCACTTAATTAGAGAATTGAGTAATAAGATACAGGCTTCACTAAACTCCTGGCCAGAGACCAGAACAACTTTTCATGGCAAGCCTGTAAGAATCTTCTTCAAAGGAGCTTCTGTACTGTGCAAGTAGGAGAACATCACAGGTTCAGTTGCATTTGTGAACTGGTGCGTGCTAAGTTATTGATAACATAGTAACTCAGTGTTCTCTAGGCTCAGCTGCTTGACACACTACTGCAAACCGATTTCTTTATTCTTTTTTTTTTTTCCAAACCAGTTTCCTTTGTGAGACTTTGAACACAATACTGAATAATGAATATAGCTTAGAAACAATTATTATTCTACTTGATGTCAAAAAGAAGAGGGACAAAGTGAAGATCTCACAAAATCTAAGGTCACTAGGAAAAGGGAGGAAACATTTACTGAGGATAGTTTTATGTCTCACAGAGTAGCAGCTTCTCATGGAATTACATTGGATCTTTAGAAAAACATTTTCCCACAGAAATTATTTTCATATTTTTAAGGCGAGGAGGAAATAGATCCAGAGACATGAACTCTTTATTTCCAAAGCAAGGAACCAGTAAGTAGCAACATCAAGATTGAACCTAGATGTGTATTGATTTTTTCTTTCCATGAATGAATATTTTTATGATTTCTGTCTTCATTTTGGGAAAATTCATTTAAAATTCATTTTGAATGTTCATAAGTTAACCATGAAGTTACTGACGATGTATGAAGCAAATGAAAATTAGTAAATTAACATTTATTATATCTGTATTCTGGAGCCATAGTGGCATGCATTATTAAAACAGAAAAGTTTTAGTTTAAAAAATGCTGAAGAGGGGTGGGCATTGTGACACAAAGGATTAGGCTTCTGCCTGGGATGCTTGCATTCACAAGAGTGCTGGTTCAAGTCTGGGATCCAGATTCCAGCTAATGCACCTGGGAAAGCAGTGGAGGATGGCACACATGCTTGGATCCCTGCACCCACATGGGAGAGACTCAGATGCGCTCCAGGCTCCTGACTTTGACCTGGCCCAGCCCTGGCTGTTTTAGCCATTTCAGAGTGAACCAGTGACTGGAGGTTCTTCCCTTTTTCACCCTCTCTGTCTGTAATTCTGCTTTCCACATGGATAATAAATCTTTAAAACAATGTTGAAGAGGGAAGTTAGCATATATACATATGTAAAGGAGTTTTAGAGTTCACAGAAAATCTATATTGTGAATTAATTCTATAGATTTCAAAAATATTTTACACCAAATTGAAGCTATATTTTACCAACATTATTCACAAATTTTTTGAAGAGAGAGAGAGAGTGTGTGTGTGTGTGTGAGAGAGAGAGAGAGAGAGAGACTGTATTACTAAATTTGTTATCTCATTAAAAAAAATCTGGGGTGGGTGTTGTGGCACAACAGGTTATGACACTGCTTGAGATGCCTGTGTCTCATGTTGGGATACAGTTTCAAGTCCCAGCTACTCTGCTTATAATTTAGCTTCCTGCTGATGTTCCAAGAAGTTGTAGTTGATGCCTCAGGTCTTTTAATACCTGCCTCTGACTTGAGAGATCTGGATGTCCGTTGCTAGATACTGGCTTGCACAGGGTCTGGCCCCTGAAGTGCAGGCATTTGAAGAGTAGGTCAGTAGATGGAATATCTCTCTCACTCCCTCTCTGTCACTCTACCTTTAAACTATATAATTCAATGCATTTTCGCTTTTAAAAAGTCTTTACTAACACTTCTAGAGTTTAATTCATGTCAGGCAAAATTTGATATTCTTTTACCCACTAGAATTAATAAGTGAGCTCAAAATACCTTTTTATGAAAAATGAGAGTAAGCCAGAAGTTGTCTATGATTAAGAACATCCTTAACAGGACCAGTGTGACTGAACGGGAGACAGAAGCACTGCATTGGTGTTGGGTAGAAAGGGGCACAATCTGACACTGTAACTGTTTCTGTGATGTAGCATGTACTGTCCTGGAGCCCACATGTACGCCTTGGCACCATGCCATATGTACTCCATTTTGGTGTGTACCTACTGTCACTTTAAAGCCACAGAGTAAAAAGAATGATGACCAGCTCACAAACAATTCGTCCATTCTCTGACCCCAAAAGCTCCTAATTGCCCCCTGAAAAGTTCACCTCTGACAGTCTGAGGCCTCATCTATGTAATAATCAAGAATGATTTACATGGTGGTATATAACATTCATTCAAATGTATATTCATGTTGACTGTATATGGTCAAATTGGTAGACATTTTCCATTCACTTATAAAGTTTTGTTTTTAATTGGCATGTTGGCACTGTCAAAATAAATATGACCCAGGACTTACTCAAAAGAACTCTCTTACAGCTCAATTTTTTTAAAATAAATTTTTATTGTGAATTTTGAATTGTGTGGTACAATTTTGTGTAGGATAGGATTCCCCCACAAACTCCCACACCTCAACAGATTTTTCCCCTTTTACTACAATAATGTAATCCTTCATAGGAAATCATAATTCTATCAGTATTTTATTTAAGTGTACCCCAACATTATCAGTAAAGACAATGTCAGACAGTTCAGCATCCCATTGTCTACACATGTCCAACAGTTTCATTGGGATTTCCTCTTTCATCTGGATGCAGGGATGCATGTTCCATTATACCCCCATGTCTGTATATGATAGGCCCAGTACTCCATCACTATATATTACCATAAGTGAGAAACCATGGAACAAGGTCAACAACTGGAATGAGTTATAACAGCCACAACAACAGCATCAACAACAAATTACAGTACCATGTGAAAAAAACAAACAAAAACATGCCACTGAGTAACCAACACATAACAAAAAGGAAACACTGAAGTCTCTTGGGAAAAATGATGCCATTGTATAATTCATGAGCCCGTGATGAATTCAACTAGAGAAAAGAGATTATTTGGAATGAACCAAACTGAAATAAAAAACATCAAAACACATCAATTTAATAGCATGCGCTCACCACCCCATTATAATGGATACTTTGGCTGTCTTGCTGCCTCTCTCACATTACGCAGATAGCAAACTCCTATTTGTTCTCTTCAGAGGAAGCTCATATTTTGGTATTTCCAGGTTTTGCTTTACACAATTTCTAATCCATAACACTTCACCACTCTTTTTTTTTTTAAATCTTCAAGAACTGAGACTAGGACATGCTAGGATATCTCAGTCCTGCCTGCCACTCTGGCTCAGTAAGCCTGACACACACAGTGACATTCAGGCTAGGCAGTACTTGAGGACCATGTAATGTCTTTCAGGTCACTACAAAAGTTCTTACATCCTTTTTGCAGGTGCAGACTGACAACTTTAACTGGCTGCCACATGGCACATTGTGTCCTGCTATTTTCCATTACCACAATTAATGTTAGAATCATATAATTTCAGAACTAGAAGGGAATTCTTGGGTCTTCAGAGTTCCTCTTTTTAGATTTTTGACAAGAGGAAAGACTTCTGGCGTTGGTGAAAATACAGTCTCTCACTAATCGGGGTGAGACGGATTTTGCAAATTACACATTACCTTCAAACAATCTAGGTACATGAGAGCTACACAGTTTTATACACGAGACCATGTGACTCTCACTTGTATTATGCAGGAAGGCAGGCAGGGACCAATACAGGGCAGAGCAAGGTCATCTGTGCTGTGAAAATGTGTGAAAATTCATGGATGTCACAGAGCCAAAATTCAGCTTGCATGCAATGACTGCATAAGAATAATGCAATCTGTCAGAGGAAGGCCTTTCCGGCAGCACTTGGCTGACTGGTTTCACTTGGTAAAATGCAACATTCTAGTATTTCTGCCACAGGTTTTCTGATGATTTGATGTGGTGGTTTGTAAGTCTATAAATGTGTCTGTATGAAGTAACATAAACTGCCTGCCATGTGCTTTAAAAACGATTTGAAAAGTTTCAAATTATGCAATTTTTAAGAAAATGTCAGAGATCTCACAGACTTTTACTGCGAAATTTTCATTTTTCCATATTTGCATCGTCATTCTCTCAAATATATACTGACTCATTTTTTTCTGTAGCCTTTCAAGATAGATTGAATGCATCACACCTCTTTGCCCCCAGTATTCTGTAAGAACAATGTTTGCCTGGTGTAACCATACTACAGTTGTCAAATTGAGGAAATTTAACATTGATGCACTAATTTTCAAATCTATAACCTATGTTATAATTTGGCAGTTTCTCATAATACATATAACAGAAGGAGCCAGTATAAGATTATGTATCTCAAAAAGTTTTTGTATCTGTTTTCCTGTTACCTGAATCTCTATTCCTCTAATGTTTCCTCAAAGCTCTAGTCTAGTAATGCCATGCTGGTCAGAGTCCTGTAAGGGATGCTGTGTGCTTCCTAAGGAGTCATTTCTTGAAGCGTGTACTATCCACCTGGGTCACTATAGTGATGCTTACTTTGATCACTGGTCTATGTGTTAGTTAATTTTTCTACTACATGCTTATTAACTTGTCTTCTACAACTATGAATTAAATCATAGATTTCCTGAGGACTTGGAAGTATTCTATTTATCAAATTCAGCTCCCTCATCAGACTTCATATTTAGCACATATTGATTATTCACGACCAAATCAATGTAAGTATTGATGAAGCAGGTAAGGTGATAATTTTACAATTCCATGTTTATCAGTCATCAACCAGCCCAATGCAAGTGTCTTTTCCTCTCCATCTGTCTCCATTGGAGGCTTGTGATTCTTATTCTGGTCAGTGAAATTTCTATCCTCATATTAAGATACAAATTGCTAAAAAGCAAAACACTTCAAGATGCCTCATGTGTCATTTCTTCATACATTAATCATTGTGTCCTTTTAGATGAGCACTTCCTTGATTTTTAATGCAACAAATGCTTTCAGGAAATGCTTGATGTTTTATTTGATCAGATGAGATAAATTTAAAGAGACTGCATTTTTTTACCTTAAAACATAAAGTCTTATTCTGGTGTTCTGATGTGTTCCCTGTCACTTGATGTGTCACTGAAAAAATGGAATGTTGTAATTTTAAAAGTATGAAGTGTTTGTATGTATGTATGTTCAATCACACTTCATTAATTTTTAAAAATTAACACTATGAGATCTGTCATAAAATTTGTAAATCAGAGACATAATGATCAGAATGTTTTCTGTGATTCCTAGGGTGTGTTAATAAAGACTCAGGTACTGACTGCACTAAGTTTTACTGAAATGATGAAATAATAGTAAAATTAACATTGGTCTGCCTAGCATCTGCTGCTTATTAAATGTATGCATCTATCAAATCTGATTATGTAAGTTCTTTGCGTTCTGTTATTAGTAGTCATCTTGCTTTTGTCACTGATTTTAACCTGTGTGTAGTACCAAATATTTTTTTTCTTAATCTAATCTTTATTGCATGATTTCATAGGGGCATCTTTCTAAAAATAAAATATTGCCTACTTATTAATGAAAACATCTGATAGGGTGTATCAGGCTACAAAGATGGATAAATTTGAAAATGGATTGCGAAACATGATTTTAAGACAAGCTCCTCTATGATGAACTGAAATCGTAGGCTGTCCTCCAAGCACAGTCCCAGCTTTCCTACATTTAGCCTTTTTGCTAGATCAGCTCCAGATACACTGACCTGCTTTTAGCTCTGAAGGCTTATTAATTTTCTTGGCAACTTACAGTCTGTATTTTATTATTACTTCATCTGGAAGACTCTTTTTCCATTCGTTTGCTTAACTAACTCCTACTCAGCATATTGAAGCAATTAAATAGTACTTTCTCAAGGAATCCTTTACAGATGCCCTAGTTTAGGCATGCAACCCTGTTATATGCTCCCTGCATTGTGTACTTTCTCTTTATGGCTTTTACTGGAATATAATTAAATGATAAACTATGTAATTACTGGTTTAATGTGTGCCTTCCCCTTTTAATTGTAAACACCTTGAAGTCGCTCAACATATATTAAACAGAAGAACGAGAAACATGAGATGTCGTGCCAATTGAGATTCTTTTACAAGGGATCCTCAAAAAATTCATGGAAAATGCACTTGGTAGAACATTTGTGCATGAAGTTTCCACAGTTTTACACTGAAATAAGCATTTTAAAATTCAATTGTTCCTGAATTTTTAATTTTTAAAGGATTTATTTGTTTTTATTTGAAAGGAAGAACGAGAGAGGGAGAGAAGAAAAATAAGTAGCCAGATGGATTGATCCATCAGCTGATCTTCCATCTGCTGGTTCACTCTCCAAATGGCCAAAAAAGCTGAGGCTTGTTCAGTCTAAAGCCAGGAGCCATGACATTCTTCCAGTTCCCCTGTAAAAGTGCTGAGACTCAAGCATTTGGGCCATCTTCTGCAACTTTCCCAAGCTCATTGACAGGTAGTTGGATTGGAAGTGGAACAGCCAGGACTCGAACCAGTGCCCATGGGAAAGCAGGTGGAGGCCCAACCTGCTATGTCATGGTGATGGCCCCTCCATTAATTTTTTGAAGTATCCTTGCATGCATGTGTGCAAGAGATACTGAGAATATCCTCTTTTTTTCTTAGATTCTGATTTTCCTCATTCAATGTCATCTTAGTCATGCTTCAAGCCCATTCTTAGAAGCACACACTGACCCTGGATTTTTCTCCACTTTGCAGTTGCCCCAGATAGATGTCTCATCATCATTCCCCTGAACTTTCCACTTTGCTGGGGAGGAAATTCACTTTATTTTCCATTGTAATTGATCTTAAAACCCTATTATGAGCTCATACATCCTGTGTGTTTTGATTCCATGTGTTATTTCCAAATTCTAATTCCAAATTAAAAAAAGAAAGAGATCTAAAATATTTAAACTAGATTTTGAGTAGTTTTTACCTTTGCATGCATTATTTAGATAGTAATTCATAACAGTGCTGTGACCAATAAGAATAAGATAGGCCCAATCTTATAGACTACAAGTCATTTACAACTCCTTTCAATTTCAGGGTTTTCAGAAGTTTGATGACTGATTATATAAAATATGTACACATTCCCATACAGCATGAAATCAAATTTTAAAGGAAGTTGTTTGAATGCTGTCTCAAACTTGCTATGACTTTAGGAGATTCTGACGAAGTGTTTGACGTTAACCAGGTTCTGCTGTAGTTCCTGTTCAAATAGCCAGTTTAGGTTCGTTTTTCTCCTCATTTCTCTGCCTACATTCTAGTAATAGGTCTTTTAGTGACTCCGTGTAAAGGGGGAGAATTCAGGAAACAGCACAGCCGTGAGCGAGCTTCAATTGAACCTAGACCTCCTGTTCCTGCTTTTACAACAGTAAGATTTACATTGGTCAGCCTGACATCTGCTACCTATTAAATCCAGAAACCTATAAATCCTAAATTCTTGTCTTTCAACTTGCTTTGTCTTGGGTGTGATTCAGGCCAGGAACAATGTGAGATGGGGAAGCTTTTTAGGCTGAACATCAAGAGCGAGCAAAGCAGACTGCACTGGCTTGGTTTGGCTGAAGCTTAAAGTTCTGCATTCATGATAAATTAAAAAAAAAAAAGTGGGAAAGACCAGCTATCTGTTTAGGAAAACTCGGAGGCCAGGTTTGGGATTTGGTATTTTATTCTGATGAGTGAATTTTAACATTTTATAAAAGTTATCAAAATAACCGTATGCTTTATTACTAAAATACTGTTCATTTGTCCTTGAGAGGAGACTGCTATTTTTCTTACTATGAGGAGGATGAGAAACAAGTAGTTCAACCTACACCTGAGCATGAAAAGCCTCCACTGCCCACTCCTTCCTGACAATCTCTGGTGTGGAAAGGAAGTGCCTAATCCGGACCAGCTGGCTGTTTGATGGTATTAATGAGGAGTTAAAAGTATCAAAAGGGTGGAAAGGTTACTGATAGAAGATGATCAGTTCCCCATTCCCACATGGGTATGGATGGATTAAAATCACATGTTTGTAGACTAAGGGGAAAAGGCATTCTTATTTTTTTTCAATTGATACACAGTACTATCATAGGCTTCTTGTTTTGAGAGCCTAAAATAATTCTTTAGTTCTTTTTTTTCTTTTAATTCTCAACGTAGCAGTCCGTTTAATATTTTTGAAGCACATGGAAATTCATACTACCCTTTTGCTTGAAAGACCTACAATGGCTTTAAAAATTATTTACATCTATAAATATCCCAGAGGGCTATGCACAGGTTGACCCATGTTAACTCTAATCCCTTCTCTCTTGCTCACTCTTCTCTAGCCACTCTAGTGATTTTTTATGTGATTTTAAACATATTAGGCACCTTATTGCTTCAGAATATCTGCACTTGCTATGCCCTTTTCCTCCAACACCATTCCCTCAAACATCTAAGTTTATCCTCTCACTTTCTCAAAATTAAAAAAAATATATTTAACTAAATTATTTGAAAGAGAGACAGATATCCCATCTTTTATTTTAATCTCCAAATGCCCACACCATCCAGGATTGAGCCAGGTTTTGGCCAAGACTGGGTCAGGCTAAAACCAACAGATGAGAATTCAATAGGATCTCCCAGTGTGTGACAAGGACCCACATACCATACCATCACTTCCTGCCTCCCTGGGTAACATTAGCAAGAAGCTTCAAATCCAAGGACTTGGATAAATATTTATTGAATGAGTTACTCACAAATTAAGTCTTTATTTTATTATATCCTTTTGAGTATTTCGGAAATCTCACCAGGATTTTAGCCAGACTGAGTACAGAGGATCTGTTTCTTCCAGGTCATAGAATGGATAAGGACAACTTGAACCCTGCAGAACCTCCATCTGCTTACTGGGATGTGGACACCATCTGTGATTAGCAATATTATTAGTCTTCTTAGTATGTTGTTTCCATTCTGGTTATGTGTTTTTTTCAAAAAATAAAGTGTAAGAAATAAATGTGGGTAAAAGAGAGCTCTCCCTTCTACTCGCTTAATCCCAAATGACTGAAGACCTCAATTCAGGTCCCCCATATGGGTGGTAGGAACCCAGTCATTTGAGTGTCACTATTGCCTCCCGGTGTCAGCATTAGTCACATGACTAATATGTAGTCATGAACTGGAAAGAATTATTGAATCTAGGTGCTCTGATGTGGGACATAGTCATATTAATCACTACCCAAAAAACACTGGCCCTAATTATATATGTATAGATGTTCCTCAACTTATGGTGATGTTATATCCTGATAAACTCATCATAAATAAAAAATTATGGTTATCACATCTAACCCACCAGAATCACGGTTTGGTCTAGCCTACTTTTAACGTGCTTAGAATACCTGTGTTATTCAATCGTTGGGCATAATCATCTAACACAAAGGCTATTTTATTTTAAGATGAGGAATCACTCATGCAGTTTATTAAATACTGTTATTAATGTTAAAAGCAATGATTTTAAGAGTATTCTGCATGATATTAAATTAAAATATCATAAATTGAACTCTCATAAGTTGTAGACCATTTCTGTGTATCTGATTTGTATAATAACAATACTAATACTCACTGACCTGTTAGCATTTGAAGTGATTCATAGCATGAACATTTTTTTCTAGTATAAATTTAGTATTTCAGGACAAAATACAAGCTTTCTATGATGTCCAAATTGATGTTGTACATAGTGGCTCAATAAATATAAATTGGTGTGATATTGATTGCCTTTTAATGATGTCAAATAGTACATATAAATTCTAATCATAATGCATCATCCTGTGGTTTGAATGTGTGTCTTATATTTTGATATGCTGGAAACTTCCTCATCTCCATGCT